GGAAGAGCTGAGCTCTGGCACTTGGCCTCAGGCTCCTTTTTTCCGACTTTTCTTCCCTCTCGATAGCAGGGTGAGTAGGTACTAAACTCACGGAGAGGGAGGTCAGGCAACGCCGTATTGCAAGCCCCATGCATACCCCAAGGCAGGGAAAGTCATTTGACAAGGAGCTGGAGGAAGGACCTTGGAAGAAGGAAACCTTCTCCAGACCTCTGCCAGGTCTGTAGAGATGGAGCAGATGCCCCCGTGTGCCAGACATGGCTTTTGCTTCGTTTGCATGGTCAGGATCAGGGCTGAGTGATTGCAATCAGAGCCGTGAGGAGGTAAATCTGGAGCTCAAGCTAAACCAGTCCGTGCATTTCTGTACTCCTTATGGGAACAGAGAGGGAGCCTGGATAAATGGCAGTCTGGCCACGCTGCTGTTCCACTTCTGGTCACTTGTCATCTGGCCCCTTGGACCAGCTGCCTGCTTTCTCTGTGCCTCAGTTTCCCGTAAAATAAAGATTTTGTGTGTCTTCTTCTCCACCATGAGATCCTACACGAAACGCCATTTGCAGTCATCTTGCGCATGACTTTGATCCCCAGGTCCCACAGCCAAGGCCTTCTGGATCTGGAAGCTGCTTTAGGGTTGCAGGTCCCTGGCTCTTCCCCACCTAGCTGCCCTTGCGGGATTTGGGGCTCCTCTCTTAAAGGGCTGGTGTCGCTCACGTTTGGCTCTGCGAGCTGCAAGGTTTTTCAATCATCCCCTAATGATAGGAAAGCAACTTTTATTCCCTCTCTCCCCCGGGCTTGGCAGGAGAGGTGGAATGTGGATTGCTAGAGGAGCAGCCACCTCTCAGGCCAACAGCTGCTTAGGGGGATGGGTTAGATAAATGTGCAGGATTTCCAATCAGCCCGACACAGCCCAGCCAGAGGACTGCACCGGAGCACGGATGTGCAGGAATGGCTGACTCTGATAATGCCGCGTTCATCTCAGCGATCCCAAAGAGCATGACCGGAGGAGTCAGCCTTGCCCGGAGGGGACCGCAGCGGCCGGTTCATCGACCCCAAAGACGCCACTTGGCAGCTTAGGATGTGGCAGCGATGGCAGAGGGAAAGGCAGGTCGGCTTGCTTTGGGAAGAGCAGAAAAGCAGAGACAGAGGGATCCCCTCCAAGACATCGTTGCTGCGTTCAGACGCTGCCGGCAAGGGGCTGTACCCGCCGGAGGAACCAGCCCCGTCTGGAAGCACCTGCAAGCTAGCCAAGAACGAGGTGTGGTTTTCTCCCTG